ATTCTTTTCCAAAGGCGCAGCTCTGGCGCATGCGCACCACCACTAAAAAATTCTGGCAGTGTCCATTCCTGACACCTGGGACCATGCCGAACATTTTCCAATAGGTTTCATGGGGTTTCCTTTCCAGCTAATCTAGCTCAATTTTGGGGTATCGGTTTTTTAGCTCTGGCGCATGCGCACCACCACTAAAAAATTCTGGCAGTGTCCATTCCTGACACCTGGGACCATGCCGAACATTTTCCAATAGGTTTCATGGGGTTTTCTTTCCAGCTAATCTAGCTCAATTTTGGGGTGCCTTTCAAATGACCCCACTGGCCACACCCACCAGCGGCTGCCTGCCAGACTTACATTTCCTTACATGGGTATGTACACGAATCATTGCTATATGCATGAAAATTGGTTTCCTTTCCAGCTAGGCTGACCCCCCTGGGCTCCCGGTCTATATGTCAGATGAGCTAAAAACTATATGGGAAGACTCTCCACACTTTGAAGCCTAAAGAAGGCAGCATGAAATGGAGAATCGCGAACGACAGAAAGCACGTTCTGCAGACAGAATGAATCACCCTGACCCATTCATCAATCTCAACAACACCTGCATACATTGTAACAATACATGTGGATCCAGGATTTGCCTCGTCGGTCATCTGAGGACCTAGATACAAATACAATTAGGCGCGTTCACATAATGTAACCCCAACAAGATGTAACCCAATCACCTAATAACGTAACCCAACAAGAGTAGGGAACTACTACTCTTGTTGGGTTACATTATTGTATCTACTGAGGACCCACAGACATCCATAGCCTTCCCATGGGAGACAATCATGCTCGAACTCGAAGGATTGCCGATGATGATGAGATCTGACCAAAAGAAATCGAATTGCAATACGCTCACCCGCCCCCGCCCCGCTTCACTAGTTGTTGAACACGAACAATGTCTATACCAATCACTAACTAATTCAAATACCCCAAAGCTTTCCTTTACTGTACGTAGCATAAAAAGTAAATTCATGAAGAATTATATAGGGGCGTGTGGTCTAATACATCAACAACGACATTCTGGGAATATGAGCTTTAAAAAACGCATTTTCCCAGCAAAATGCATAGATATACCTACTGTAAGCTTGTCTATGTTGCAAAAATTCGCTACAACTCATTTGTATTGCTACTTTCATAATTTATTCAGCAAACCTAAACAGTCTTACTAAACTAGTACTTTCAATGTTTGGTGTTTACACATCTGGGACATAGCCGAGCGATCGCAGTTTTCACCAGTTCTTTTCTATGATCATCATGATAGAATAAGTTGTAATTCATTATTCGATGTTTGTTCAGTACAAAACTGTGAAATTTGTTTAAATCATAATGTTATCTACATTACTTCTTATGCAATTAGCAAACTAATATAGTGTTTTCTTTCCATGAACTATTTGTCTACTGTTAACGTTCTCAGTCACGTCGCTCTATTCACACCGCGTTCACAGCCGCTATTCACAGCTGCGTTCACACGGAGCGAAAACGCTGGGTCGAAAACGACACGGGTCGATTTTGAAGAGAGCGTTCACACGACTCTTGATCAATCAACGTTTGATCAATCAGGTAGACGTTTGATCGATCAGTTCTAGGACATGCCTATATGCTATGCGAGCTGCGTGCTGAAAAGAAAACAATGCTTCAAACTGAACAATCAAGCGAACAATGCAAATTAAACAATCAATGCACAGCAACTCTGTGTAAACTCTGGCTTTCGACACTGGCGACGTCTACCGCCGTACTAATTTTGACCCAGGTAGTGTGTCGGTGTGCGTTCACACGGCAAAAATGAACCAGCGCTCAGGTCGATTTCGACCCGGGTCGTTTTTGTACCGAGAAAACGTACGTGTGAACGCTTGGCCCGGGACGCATTCCCGGGTCAAATTGCTCCATGTGAACGCGGCTTATGTGTATCTGTACGCCGAAACTTTGCCTGACGGAGTTTCAAAATAGCATGAAAATAGTCAACTTTGGAGTACATTTCTGGCTCAATAAGAACATTTCGTGATGTTTGCATACTGCAAGTATGCTCAAAGTAGGTGTATGTAGGCTTTTTGTTGCGAGGTTTATCCATTTTCAGGTAACACCAAAACGCATATATACAGATGGAACATTTAAACAAGAATAAATTCACCGGTTGGATTCCTCTTATTAGTGGATTTATTTACAATATAAACGAATTCATCGTGCTGCTACTGTGACAAGTTTTAAACAAGCTGCCTCGACTACACACAAATCAGGTGGATGGGTGAGCTCAATGGCAGAAAAATTATATGATATGACCTACAAAACACAAAATCTACATCCGTCTCTGCCCGGTACATTTTCAATGACCTTTATCATCTTGCTATTTTCTCTAGTTGCTGACTCTGAATGTCGTGTATGGTACTAACAAAGCTTGCCCCAATGCATCCTAGTTAACAGTTTTGTACTGCAACCCATCTCCTTCACAGCTTATATACTATAAGGTTTCTTTTTTAGTATAAATAGATATTACGCAGTTATACATTTATCCTCTACATTCTAAAACCAACACTGATGAGAATACAATCGGCAGTAATCGATTTAGTATTTCAATACAATGTAGTTAAGACTATTACCTTAACTCTATGGATGAAGAACAAGAGATTATATTTGCAAGAAATACACGATGCTTCTGCAAAGGCATTGGCAGTGAAACCAGTCTAAAAATATCTATAACTCATTAGGAGATGGCCTAGCAAAATTCTAGTGAAAATCACTACGGAGTACCACTCTGTCTAGTTGCCCACAAAGCTGGCTCTAAACTAGTGCACTACTTAATTTGCTGCAGGAAATATTACTTCATGTTCAAACTTCGTTTTACAACATTCACGACATTATGTGGTTGGGGAAAAGCATTGAGTTCTAGTAACTTCGCATAGGGTGTCGGGCAGTCGGCTCCTGTCACTCGCATAACTGGGGAGTCCAGGTAATTGAATGCCTTGCCTAAAGATATACAGAAAATAATGTCGGATTAGTGAACACTGAACATATAAGAACAAACAGGTAGCCATAAAACAATTAATACTGATGTCTGTTCTTTGCTTCGAAACAAATTCGAACATTTGCCAACAGAGACCAATAAAGATCATTCAATATACCTCATTAGAACTACAGTAGACAATCTATTATCTGAAACCCTTGGTACCAGACATGTTTCGGAATTCGGAATTTTTCGGATTTCGGAATTGTACATAGTGTATATCCTGCAACAAGCCAGTACTAAAACCCAAGTCTTCAAGAGGCCAAGTGCTGTACCAGTACAGTACAATAGGTATTACTAATGCCAAACACACTATTATTTCTGCAGTGAACCTTTGGCACCAAACGCGAGCTCTGGTGTGCAGACAACCTCCACGAAAAATTTTTCGGTTTTCGGAGCTTTTCGGTTTTCAGAATTTCGGATAATAGATTGTCTTCTGTACAATGAAACTACATTGATTGCTGTTACTCACTCTCCATGATTCTTGCACAAATTTCAGACCCGACTCCACACTGGGGCCATCCAGTTTCCACGGTAACTAGATGGTTGGTTTTCATGACAGACGCCACAATAGCATCTTCATCTAATGGTCGAATCGAGCGAAGATTGATAACCTTAAAACAAGAATTATGAAACATGACAATCAATTAAAAATTTAAGTTTCCATGCCTCACTACCTGCAAACCAACGAGTGAGAAAATATTTAATTATTTCTCGCAAATATTGTATTACACTAGTTTTTGTTCACCTCAGCATCTATGCCGAGGCTTTCCAGATCTTTAGCGGCGTCCATGGCAGTGCCAACAGATTTTGAATGGGCGACTATTGTGACATGTTTACCTGAAATGTAGGTAATGATCATCAGAAAAATTACACAAAACTAAGATACAATCATTAGCAATTACACAATACTTTTCTAGCACACTCATTGTCTGCCATCCTCAAGATTAATTTAATTGACAATAAAATGATATACCTTCTCTTTCAATCTTTGCTTTTCCGATGGGAATTACAAAGTTCTCTGACATAGCTTCATCTGGCATGTCGAAAGATACTCCATACAAGAGCTCATTTTCCAAGCAGATAACTGGAAACAACCAATACATACTTATAGCAAAAATTCATATAGTTCCAATTTTGTAATTATTACTTTAACAGAAATACTTCAGAATGCCACATATTATCAAATTAACGCGAGAATCAGTTTTCCCTACTGCTATGATCATTGATATCATCTACATAGTACACAAAGCACTATAAACAAGTGCCGCAGAGCGACAGCGCTCAACTGACGTGTACTGTAGCCGGGTATTCTTCTGATAAACTCACTGGCAACCGAATCAAGTGCGCCCTCTCGCCACCGCGTTGATAGGATTTGCTATACCGGTAGTACAGTAATAAAGATATAGCTGTGTAACTTTAACCCTTTCACTGCTGAATAATTTTCACATGTTCGCCCCTGTGTGCTGAATACTTTTTTGCAACGAAGCAAATTTCATGTATATGCGTTTAAAAAAAATCATATCAAATCAACCGCTTAATATATCAGCCTAATTTTTTAAGGAATTATACTTGAGGTGTCCTTCTTTCTATTACTTTTTTGGGGGGGAGGGGTTTGGCATTATCATATATTACTTTTTTCAAACAACTAGTCAACAACCAAATTCCGCTGTGTGAATTATTGAAATTTATTCCAATTTAAAAGTTAGTTCCACAGTAATATTAGAAGATCTCACTCTTGAATATATCATTTGATTTTAAGCAGATTTATTATAATAAAATACAGCCTATAATGCCGCAAATAAAGTGCAAACTTACTACAGAGTACACTCAGTACTTGCTCCTCGCCCAACAGCAAACTTTGAAGTGTTTACATCTCTAAGAACGCCGCCCATAGCTACGCTTAAAAAAATTTAAAAATTCACAGAAGATGAAGCCACAGTGCCGTACGATCGATTGGTGTACTTAAACATTCTGTATGTGTTTGCATTCGAATGCTACCGTGCCCTGTTGTGACTATGGCAACAACCCGGCGTCAGCCGGTTCCCGCATATCAAGTCATGCACGATGTCCCGGCCGTGCAGTGAAAGGGTTAATGACTTCGCTATATTAACGTTAGTGATGGGAATCGGCTGGAATTTCATAATCGATTATTGGTTTCCCTTAACCGATCGATAATCGATTATAATCGGATAATCGGTTAATAATA